CCTCAAACAGTCTGAGGAACAGTGAAATGGCCCCCTGTTTAAAAAGTCTGAGGACCCCTGGAGAAACACCAGCTTTCTGGCTGTCTTCAGACATGCCAACCCCATGCCTACCCGGAGTTTTCCGGGTGTCTTCACACTGCTTAGAATGCTGGCTCCCAGACTTTGCATGGCTCACTTTCTGTCATTATTCAGGTATCTGCTCAAATACCAGCTCTGTAGGGAGAGACCTTCCCTGACAGTTCTACCTGAAACAGCCTCATTTTCCACCCTCTCCCTGCCAACACCACTCTTTATTCCCTTTCTCTGCTTTATTTTTCTCTATCACACTTAAAACTAACATTATATTGTGTTTATTTATTTATTTTCCATCTCTTCCACCAAAATGTAGATGCCATTAAGGCAGACTATCTGCTTTTTTCAGTCATTTCTGTGTTTCTAGTGCCTAGTGGGAACTGAAACAAATTGATGAAGGAAACCAGGAATGAATGCCAAAGAGCCTGAAATCTTCTCTAGTGTCTTGCATTAGCTCATTTTCGTAAGAATGCACTCCCTCTGCGGCCCCTTGCTCTCCCTCCTTCTGCCATATCTTGATTGTGTTCTGATTCATTTTATAATCACGTGAACCTATTCGGACTCTGTCCTCATCCTGCCTGTAACGGAGAAGTGAGGGCTTGGCCTGGGGCTGCTCCCTGTGCACTCTCAGTTCTGTCCTGCTCCTCTCCCCAATCCACAGCTAGCGGGCAGGTGGGTATCATGCTGCCAGTCTAATTCCTCCTCCCGGCAGACTTTCATCCAGACCATTTTCTGCCCAACTGTGGTGGGCGCTCCCCCCACTCCCAAGCCCCTCATTCCCAAGGTGGTCAGGGCTAATATGTGCTTCACAAATAATGAACCCTACATTTCAGAGAACTAGAGTTCCCATTCTGTCTTCCTCGTTGTTTTGCTCTGGTGGCTATGGCTTGTGGGTGTGGCTGTTGTTTTTGTAATTTTTTTTACTCTATGCTGTGTTTGGAAGAGATGGTGATGGAAAGAAAGAGGGTGGAAAGGAATGGATTAGTGCAGTACATTAGTGTTCGGGGGCACCCACGTCCCCATTGGGTCTAAGGGTCCATATCTAGCAACAGCGGCAGTGAAGAGGCCGTGCATTTTCCTGTCTTTTATCAGGTAATTATTGTTCATGAACTGGAGTTTACGATGTCTCTGGGTAGTCTGTTTTTGTTTGGCTTAAATAAGATCTAGCTTTATTATTAAATTAATTAATGCTTATTTATACCTGACCCCGACACACAGCAGATTCTCAGTGACCTCGCGACTGGTATGCTTTTCTGCATGAATTGTGCTGGCTAGCATCCCATGTTGGATGAGACCTCTGCACTACTATTTGCACTACTCTCTGCACTACTATTTTCTAAGTGTATGCAGAAGCTCTTATGATTAGGAAAATTCTATTTCATTCAAAATGCTACTGAATTGGAAGTAGCTTTTTGTCATTATCTAATTTTTTTTATTAAATCATAGCAGTGTACTATCATGAGGTACAGTGTACTGTGTCTGTATACAATTTGAAATACTTTCATCCAACTGGTTAACATAGCCTTCGTGTATTTTTCTTAGTTATTGTCTTAAGACATTTATATTCTACAATTAGAGAGATTCACATGTACCCTTATAGGATGAACCGTAGGCGTGATCCCACCAATCACCTGCCCTCCCCCCTCCCCTCCCCTCCCTCTCCCCTCTCCCCATATTCCTGGGCTAAAATTGGGTTATAGCTTTCCTATGAAAGCTATAAATTAGTTTCATAGTAGGGCTGAGTACATTGGATACTTTTTCTTCCATTCTTGGGATAAAATCAATAGATATTAAAATTATAACTACTATCTCGCTGTGGCACCAATTTTTTCTTCTGATTTAAAAAAATATATACTAAGATAAGCTCTCATAATCCAAATAGTATGTTATGATTCTCTCATAGCTTTACACAAAAGACCTTACCTTTGGGATAACATTTAGTTTCCTATCATGAAACCATTTGTCCTGTTCTTAAACTACTAGTTTAAGTAGTACTTTGAGATTGAAGAATAAAGGAATTTTTTAGAAATGTAAAGAAGTATGATCGTAAACGACATTAATTATTCTGAAGGAAATTTGAAGAATAGAATAATAGGTGCTAAGATTTAGTTACTCTCATGCATTATCTGAAGAAAAGTTCATTCAAACATATTCTGACATTTTTAATCCACAGGAATGTTGTTGGGAAAATCATTCTGAGGGTTGTGAGAATGTTGACTAATTGAGCTATTCGTCCCACATGGGATTACAACACTCTCTGAATCAGAAGTTCCTGCTGTTGCAACATGTTTTGTTCCTTATTCTTTGTTGATGTTTTTCCCCCCCTTAGAAACAATCCATTTGGGTTCATTACATGGCCATTTGTTCGTTCGGGGCATTGCACTTGTTTGCGATTACAGTGAAGTCCTAGGAGGCCGGGCCTGTGTTTAAGTCAACAGGAGGTCTTGCAGCTGCTCCATTAATCAGCCAGTGCCAAGTCACCCGGATATTTTAAACCCCAAATCATGCTTTACCAGGGTCATGGGGAATTTTTGTTTTAGCCATTAAGAAGATTGGTTCAACATTGGTTGCTTACTATATGCTATGCATAGCTATCAATCTGGTAAACTTTTTACATTTTTTTGTTTTTGAGTTGGAGTCTTGCTCGTGTCACTCAGGCTAGAGATCAGTGGTGCAGTCATAGCTCACTGAAGCCTTGAACTCCTAAAATCAAGCGATCCTCCTGCCTTAGCATCTCCGCTAGCTAGGACTACAGGCATGCACCACCATGTCTAGCTAATGTTTTATAGTCTAGCTAATTATTTTTTAGTAGAGATGGGGGTCTCACTGTGTTACCCATGCTGGTCTTGAACTCCTGGCCTCCAGGCAAGTGATCCTCCCAACCTTGGCCTCCCAAAGTGCTGGGATTATGGACCTAGCCTTTTTAAACTTTTGATTCAGGTGTAATATTCTCAGAGAAAGTGCACAGATCCTAAAGTGGATAACAAGGTGAAATTTTCACAAACCTAACACACCTGTTTAACTGCTGCCCAGACTGGGAAACAGAACGTGAAGCTCACCCCTCCCTCCTGTCACTAAATCTCCTCACAAGGGTACCCACGCTCTTGTTCTGCTTGTTTTTATTCTTTGTATAAACAGAATTATACAGAATGTGTTATTTTGTATCTGGCTTCTTTCATTTTTCATTATGAGATTCATCCAAATTTATCCTGTATTGTGTTTGTTCATTTTTCCATTGTTACTGCTAGGCAGTGGTCCGCTGATGAATGCATGCAATTTATTTATTCTGCTGTTAACAGGCATTTGAAGAGTGTCCAATTTGAGGGAAGGTGGAGACTATCATGAATATTGTTATTTTAAAAATCGTATTTATTTTTAGATATGTAGTCTTGCTATGTTGCCTCCTGACCCCAAGCAATCCTGCTTCACCCTGTATCGTGAATATTTTGTTATGAACATTCTAGTACATCTCTTTTGGTTAAACTACACACACACACACACTACATTCTTGTTGGATACACAGCTAGGAGTAAAACTTTCTGGGTCATAAGGTATATGTATGTTCTAATTTGTTTTCAGAGTGGTTGTGTGTACTTAACACTCACTCCAGCAAACCTCCAGGAGTTTCCATCACTCTGCCTCTTCACTGATAATTGGCATTTTCGGTCTTTTTCCAAGCAAAAAACATTCCTCCTTATGTGCTTTTCCTTAGCTATTCTAGAGTATACGTATTTAATGTGGTTCAATTTGTATTTCCTTGATGATAACGGACCTGAGTAGACTGCAACACACAGAGAAATGTGTATATCTTTCTTTGGGATTGTTCAAGTCTTTTGGTATTTTTCTAGGGGTTGACCCCTTTTGTTACTGTTTCATAGAAATTCTTTCTATAACTGGACCTGAGTTCTTTATTGTGTATATGCATGGTGAGTATTTTCTTCCCCTCTGTGGGTTGCCTTTTCACTCTCTTAATGGGGTCTTTTGATGACCGGATAGTCCTAATTTTTAAAAAGTCCAATTTACTAGTTTTTCTTTTATGTTTTATGCTTTTTGCATCTAGTTTAAGAAATCTTTCCCTAGCCCCATTATCAAAGCTGTTCTAAGCTTTTCTCTTTTTTTAAGCTTTTCTTTAAAATCTTTATTTAGTTCCATAATCCATCAGACTTGAAATTTGTATATTGTATAACGTAGAGATGAAAGCACATTTTTTTCCATATTGCTGTTCTATTGACCCAGCATTATTTTACTTACTTTTTAACTTGTTTGAAATGTGTCCACAAAATTTAGTTTTCTTGAAATAGTTCTTATGTTTTCTTACAAAGAATTAACTAATGCTTCCTGACAAAATAATTTAAAACTATTTCACCATAGTTTTAAAAAATTTTATAATTTAGTTTCTAGATTTAACACAAGTAAATGAAAATCTCTCTTAAAAGTTCTTCTGTTCAATGAGATCTAGTTTTTAAATCCATCTACTTATTTATCTAGCACCAGAGTAATTTACAGGGCAAAAAATCATTTTTTAATAAATTTTCATTCTTATTTTTTCATTTGAATTCGACATGTGTTTATTGTGTGTCTTCTAGAATTTGGGACAGTTGAGAACATGGGTGATGTTTAGGGTTCCATTTTTATGTCATTTAGGTTTTAAAGCATATAACAAATTTATCAAATATCTATTAGAAATAAGCGAATGTCTTTAGTACTCAAAATTATATTTAACAAGGTACAAAAGAAGGATTTTTTATTATAATTAGGATGACCTTTGACATTTTACATAATGCCTCTCTACCAAGCTTTCCACTAGTAATGACACATATCTTTTAAGCTGTGAAAATAGGAAAGAAACTAGAAAGGTTTCATGTTTGTATGATATCATTGTTACTTAGCTTTATTTTATTTTTTTCTCTTTTTATTATTTGTTCCAGATTGTACTGGTCAGTGGACATCTGGACAGCTGGGACGTTGGGCAGGGGGCCATGGATGACGGTGGTGGAGCCTTTATATCATGGGAAGCACTCTCACTTATCAAAGATCTTGGTAAATATTTAAAAAATTGTTAACCAATGTGTGAAGATCTTAGTGGTGACATGTTTAATTCAATACACAAAATACTTAACAGATTAATGATGATGGTGTGCTCAAAGATCCTCCTGAAATCTATACTTTTTTTGGTTAGTTGATTCCCAGAAAAGAACTAACTTATCCCCTTAAATAAATAAATTTCTACTGAGGTATACTCCAGACATCCAAATCATCAAATATTATTATCAGCCACTGGAAAAAATGAACAAGCAAATAAAACTTCAGCAAATGTAACCACATCAGCTAGAGACTATGCAAGGAAAACATGACCGAATGCAAAGATAAACCAGCAGTGCCTCCTGCTTCCTTTTCCTTGTTCAACTTTAGCTATTGTCAGACTACTCAGATCATGGACAAAGTTGCTGGTCATCTTTCATGATACAAATCCAAAAGAGTGACCTAGGATTGAAAGAATGATTCCTAGCTACCATGAGGAGCCCAGGCTGAAAAGTTGGACCTAGCTAAACCTAAACGTGGAGAAAATGGACAGGCATCTAAAGGAAGGGCTGATAGTAAAGGTAGCTAATTCTGATGACCATGTTTGTAAACAACAAAAAAAATTCATTACCTCCTTATGTGCTGGTCCAAAAGGTATGGATCTTGAGAGTGGTAAGAAATAATGCAATAGTCTGAGGTCAGTGCTTCAGATCTGAATCAGATCAGTGGTGGTTTGCAAATGCCTCATCAGCAGAATGTCTTGTGTCATATTGTGGAATAACCTGGTTTCAGATGTGGCAAAAATCGGAACATTCTATTTCTTATTTAAGAACATATGTATAAATTCGTTCTTTTTCTCCAGCTTTTAGTAAGTCCTTCTAATCCTGATAAATTGGCCCATTAAATAATTGTTCATCATCTTAAAAGTCAGTTGTGAAAATTGTCTTGTTTGGGAGCAAATCCTTAGTGTAACATTTTGATTTATGTCTTACTTATAATTTAAAAGGGAGAAATGGAAAAGTGGTCATGCATTTTTTTACTTCTCAGTTGGCTATTGTTTCTTAACCTTGGCACCACTGACACTTTGGACAAGGTAATTCCTTGCTGTGGGGTCTGTCCCATGTATGGGAGGATGTTTCACAGTATCCCTGGCTATACTGCCCCTACCACCTTCCCCCAAGTTGTGACAGCCAAAAGTGTGTCCAGATATTACCAAATATCCTCTGGAGAGGGCAGGGGTAACAACTGCCTCAGAACTACTAAAATAAGCTAACAAAAAATCTTTAAGTAACCGAATGGGAGGGGAGGGGAGGGGAGGGGAGGGGAGGGAAAAGAAGGGGAAGGAAGGGAAAGGAAAGGGAGGGAAGGGAAAGGAAGAGAAGAAAGAAAGCAGGCTGGGCTCACACCTGTAATCCTAGCCCTCTGGGAGGCTGAGACATGTAGATTGCTTGAGTTCAGGAGTTCAAGACTAGCTGAGAAACAGTGAGACCCCCATCACTACTAAAAGTAGAGAAACTAGCTAGGCATAGGAGCAGGTGCCTGTAGCCTCAGCAACTTGGGAGGCTGAGGCAGGAGGATTACTCGAGCCCAAGAGAGTTTGAGGTGAGCTATGTGCCAGGGTTCTCTACCCAGGGCAACAGAGTGAGACTCTATCTCAAAACAAACAAACAAACAAAAACACTAGACTAATTGGAAATCTTAAATTGCATATTCTTATACTTTTAGCGTCATTGCCACGTATGACAGAAAAGATACCTGAGCACCTCCCGTGCTTTTATAAAGCACTCTGTAGAAACACAGAGAGGTTTTAATCATGTCTTCTATTTTCAAAATCCCTGGACTATAATTGGCAACCTACATAGATACCTATGCGCATCGTTAGCAATATAGACATAGTTTCAACATCTACTTACAGGACTGGGTAAGGTTTCAAAGAGAAATTGTCCAACACATAAAACCAAACAACACACTTTCCTTCACAGCTGATCTGGTAGCCTCTGAGAATTCTCTCCTCTTCCTTTTCCCTTACAAATCTTCCCTTATCTTGCTCTCCTTTTATTCCCCCTCACATAATTCTAGAAAGAAGAGGCTTCTAGAGCAAAGTAGACAAAGGCAAACACATTTTTTTCTCTTTATAGAGCACAGATATTTATTTTGGAGGTTCATTTTATTTCACCGTGTTCCACTAGCTCCATTGGAATGGTATGGTAAAAAGGAAAGCAAGATCCATCTGAATTGGACTTTGGGTCACTCTGTTCTACAAACCCATTTGGGGGGTTCAAGCAAATCATTTAAGTACTCGGGGCTTCATTTTCCTCATCTCTATTCAACTATAAGTTTCCAAAGTATTTTATTTGTTCTAGATTAGAAGAGAAATTGTATTTTCTCTAAGCTTTGAATCTTACTTCCTTGGTACTCAGCATGGGACCCTAAATTGCTGTTACTTGAGTTGAATTAAATTGCATGGAAAAATGTCAAGTGCTATGCAAAGTGAATTGAGTATCCTTTTCCAGCTCTGAAACACACTGACTTCAGTTCCTTTTGATCAGCGATCGGTGTCTTTAATTCAGGACTTAAATCTCCAAAAGATTTCTGACAACCTATGTAAACATATGAATGAAACTCTAAAATAAAGAGTAATATTTCCTGTTAGTGGTATTATGAAACATCATAATATACCGTTAAAAAGAAACCACAGGAATCTAGAGCCAGACTGCCTGGGAACAAATCTCAGTTCTGCAACTTCCTAGCTATGTGGCTTTGGGCGAGTTACTGCCTCTTTCTGCCTCAGTTTTCTCCTATGTAAAATAGGTATTAAAATAATTCCTAAATTTAAAAATTGAATAAGCTGTTTACATGATTTACTTAGAAAGGGGCCTGACTCAACCCAAGTTCTTAATAAATATTAACTTTTAAAACTTAATAAGCAGAACTCTCAACATTATCATTTTTTTATATAAGAGAGAATAATTTGTTATACCCCATTAGTGATTACTTTACCTCTTAATGTATTAGTTATATTAACGTAACTCTAGGACTAGCTGCTATCATATTGCTAAAATAACCTTTCTTTTACTATTTAAGTCATTCTCTCTTGTATGATGGAAACCTGGTAACCCCTCCACTTTTTTCCACGTTCATACTAAATTTTTAGGGGTTTTAGATTTCTCCCAGTCCCTTCTTTCTTCCCTGTCTTGCTCGTGTTGAATGCCCAGTATCCACCCTGTATCTTACTTCCTGTGATTGCCCCCATGGAGTCTTACACTTTTATCTTAAAATTGATTATGAATGTCTATTTATAGATTGTCTATGTATTTTAATGTGAAGAGCTGCGTCCAGTATGTGACGTATGAGTTCAAGATGAAAATTGCTAATATACTTGACCAAGACATAGAGCCTTGGGCTTGAGACCAAGAAATAGGTTCATAATTACATTATGTAATTACATTGAGCCCAAATAGTTTAATTGATGAAATATGAAAGCTCTGTGGCAATCTCTTTTTCCAGGAAAAATGCTGTTCCTTGGGTGATATGTCATACCGCATGCAGACCAGAGTCCCTCAGTGGGGCTTGTTAATGTGAAGTGTTGGTCCACTGGGGTTCTCTGATATTTGGGATATTTTTCTAAGATTCATCCTTCTGGTATCTTCTCCTTGTTTCCCTCTTTCACTGCTCTTATAGATTCACTCTCTTGTCTGTGCCATCAGCGTACAGTATATTCAATTAATCTAATGAAGGCGGTATCTGTGCTTTGTAAATATAATCAGTCATTCCTGAATAACTGTCAACAGAAGGCTATTTGCTGTGAAGTGCTATTGAATACTTTTTTGTGTTTGTGGTTCACTGGACTTGAAACTATTTATTGGAAATGTCATTTCCTAGAATATTCTGGTGGCAGGGCACAAAGCCTATAGCCAGAGATACTATGCTTCAAAATGATCATTTGGCATTTGAAAAATAAACTACCCTTTATCCTTAAATTCTTCTAACTTTATAGTTTTAGAAAAGTTATATTTTTGAGTTTGCAGGCCTAAAGAAATTAAAGAAATGAGAACTAACAGCATTATCTCTTTGTTGAAATGCAAGATATTTAAGAAACATTTCTAGAAAAATGTGTATGGGAACATAGTGCTTGTGATTATTCAAGAGGTTAAGAGTCTATCTCTTAGAAAAATATGTTATCTGTATGTTCTTACACTCATTCAGTCAACAAATATTTGTTGTACATTCAGTGCGTATTTGTGCACCAAATGCCCTGTACCACTTAGGGAGGAGACTTGGCCTTTGAAAGCCTAGAAATAGGAGAGACATTTAACTCAGCAATTGCAATGAAGTTGTTGTCAGTTCTCTAAACATAGTATGTACAAATTACTTTGGGCACCTGGTGAAGAGAGCAACCGGCATGGCTTGTCCGGGTCAGGGCAGCTTCACGAAGGTGATATTTGAGCTTTCTTTTCTACAGATAAATAGACATTCCTGAAGCAAAAGGAGCAGAATAAAGAATTCCCAGCAGAGTGTAGTGCTTCCAGTTCTGCACATCATTAAAAATGAGAAAACAATTGTTCACAGTAGCAGCTCTGGGATGGTGAGGGGAGGGAAAAGTGGAATCACAGCAGATGCTCACTTTTTTGCCTGATACACATGGACTTACAAAATGTTAGACTTTTGTGTAATCATTATGTGTTACTTTAGTAATCAAGAAACAGCCCTTAAAAACCTGCCCACAAAAAAAGAAGAAAAAAGACAGGAAAAATAAAATAAGAGAAAAATTCTCAGTGTTGCTATTATTATAAACACTCTGCTAACAGAAACAACACAGCAGGGTAAGCCTTCCTGACCCAGAATACACTAGTGAATGCAGCCTAATGCACACTGAGGCTTTGAAGCAAGCCCCACTGCAGCTCGAGCTACAGCACGTTCCCTCTTAGAAGTGGGGTTCCGTCTGGAAAGGGGGTTTCCTTTTTGAAGGTTCTGGTCAGATCTGCCTTGAAAAAGCCCCGGGAAATCCACTCCAGATA